CATCAGATAAATATGCAGCTGTGAAAACTGCAATTAAAACAAAAGAGCCTGCATAAGCACAATGGATGAAATATATTTAGGGGGTACGAATGTAAATATTTATGAGGAAACGACAAACTTTACATAGATACAACAACAACAACAGTACACAGAACAAAAAGACTTCTGATGAAGTTTTACAAAGGATCTGGGGTTACTATAAAATCATCAGGTAAATATGCCTATAAATAAAGCTACAAAGGCTAATTGTAAATTAAAAATGATTTTTAGGGTATTCAAACTTATTTACTTTAAATGCGTAAATTATGTGCATGGTTTATAAGAAATACTTGGTTTAAAGCGTAGAATTTGAGAAACATTAATAGCATTTACCTTGTTGGCACCAGGCGATTTCAATTGTAGCATCATTGAATGTACTGAGCATGATGAAAAACAGGTCTGACTGCTCCAAGTTTTCAGTCCGAAAAGGCCCAAAGAAAATTTCTTGCGAAACTCTTCCCTTCCCACCATTTTGATTTTTCATCACGTAATTTTTCGCTTACCATTACAGTTACACCTTTTTAGTGATAATTATTGAAACAGTCGATGAAACCAAATTGTTTTATTAGCTTCAATCAAATAGAAAAGTGATTTTTATTTTAATGGGTTACAAATTTCAATGGATTTTGATTTAAGACCGGATACTTCTAACGAAAATACCTTTCATTACATTTGAAATTCCTCCCCTTAGGAGCCAAGTGACCCCCGTTTGAGAATTCTTGCTCTGTAGTATATTGTACACATCGAAGAATATTTTTAGATGAATCCGATTAATGAAACATGAACGGATACTAATACACATACGTGTGTGTGTGCGCGCGCACGCGCGCGTGTGTATGTGAAACCATTTACATATTTAGGACTAGCAGCATGGCCCGGCGGTGCCCGTGCTTGATTAAAAAATCGTACGACTCGTACAGCAATCGCTATCACTTGGCCAATAGAATCTTCCTGCCTATTTCTGGCAGCCAGCTATTGGCTCTCACTCTGGCCAGTACAAAATGGCCGCAAACTACATGAAAACTGCCGTAGAAGCATGAAAAACTCGATTATTTCCACTATCGATGAGAGTTGCGAAAATGCAAAGTCGATCTTGGCCTTCCTGCTAACTTGGAGCATGTGCATGTAAATTTTGGTACAAATCCTTCGAAAATTGTGGCCGTGCATTTGTTACACACACACACACACACACACACATCCTGCCTTTTATAGATAGAGATACATTCAAGTCTGCAGATAATGACGAAATAACAAATCGGATCTTCAAATCTACAAGTTCATTTGGAAAGCTTCGCCACCGTCTATGGCGGCGTTTCTCAACCGGGATTCCCCGGAACCCTAAGGTTCCACAAAAGGTCCCCAAGGGTTCCGCGAGTACAGGTGAGATAAGCTAATGCACTTTTGACTTTTTATTTAATTTCATATACGTAATATTACTAAACACAAACAATATATTCTTGCTTCTTGTAATATTGTAATATCATCCTATCTAACCTATTATGTTATTAAAAAATATAACAAATCATTGGGAATTTATTTAGTGATATCTGTACGGCACTAGTGTGAAACCACCTTTACTAGTCAGTGTCCACTCAGCGAACGGGACCTGGATTTCAAAGTTACTTATTTCTTTGTTTTTGCTTTATTATTACAGAAAAATTTGACAAAAAAGTATTAATTTTTCCTTAAACCAGTTATTCAAAAAATATAAACTATGATATTTACCACGTGAACTACGATGAAAATAAAATGAGAAAGATATGGTATATAATTTTGTTTTTGCGCAGGGGTTCCTTGAGACATGTAATTTATTTTAAGGGTTAAGAAAGGGTAAAAAGGTTGAGAAACGCTGGTCTATGGAATGAGTCAGGTATCGAATTGGACACCAAAGTAGGGGTTTATAGAGAAGCTGTTTTGACTATATGGCTCAGAATCGTCGATCCTATATAAGTCCCATATCAATCAGCTGGATGTCTTCCACAAAGGTTGTCTCCACGTGATCTGTGGCTATAGTAGCCACAGATCACGCGGAGATTAGCATTGGACACCCTTTCGTCAAAACTATTTTGACGAAAGGGTGTCCAATGCTAATCTCGCAAAATGCAACATTGGTGGAATTGAGACTTTATGCAGTCACAACTTTGTTGGCTGGTTATGTTGCAATACCTAATGTCCTCATGTATAGCCAGCTTGGCAGTGGACAAAGGACTATTGGACGGCCGTGGCTCAGGTATAAAGACAAGCTAAAGAGTAACCTCTCAGCTGTAAATGTACCTCATCAGTCAGTTATGTGCCATGCATGATACACGCGTAGGCGATCGTGTATCTTTCGATACATGACTGGTGTTGTGGAGTGATTTCACAGTGGAGGCTTGTATTTGTACTAAGTCGGTCCTAAAATAGGTTCGACGTACAAAACGTTAGGAACTTGATATAATATATATTACGCAGAGAAATCTAGTTGTGGTCGCTGATACTTTCGTATTCGACTAACTGTCGTCCGACATCGACTGACTCACCGACTGACTGCCCGACTCGTTACTCTTACTACTCCTACTTATTATAGGTGGAAGAGTCTATTAACTATAGAATAGGTGTGTTCCACCATAACAACTGGCGAGGCAGATTTTTTTCCCACTGTAGATTGCCATTTCTTTCTGTAGTAGACCAGAACCCGGTCTGTCCTGCTATTTACCCATAGCTGGAGGGAGAAGAAGAGGATTCATACCTTTCCCAAGGGCATTAGCGAATGTAATGGATTCGATTGGAATTCGAACTCGGCTCTCCGATTCCTACTTATAGTCTTTGGGTTTACTATTTACTCAGTGGTATCTGAAATTTTTAAACCAGTCGTATTGATCGGCTAAGAGATGGAAGGCATCAGCAAAAAGCGCCAGCAAATATTCCTGTTGCTATGCCCCGAGATCCTCGCTGTTGCACAATAGGCGGATTGTATGCGGGTCACTAGCGGGACTGAAGTGTCACGCACGACTCATACATAAAAACTGAATGAGATTGTCGGATCCTCAAATGTCGAAATCGATATATATATATATATATATATATATATATATATATATATATATATATATATATATATAGACACATTTTTACTGAAGACGACCATCTCTTCAATGTTGAACTGAATAGCCATGGGCGCGCAGATCACTTTGCAAACCAGACTTGTTCCTGCATACCTTTTTACATATGAGTCACACGAAAGAACTTTGGAGTGTTTTGAAAGTGACTTTCTATTTGTGCACTCTTATGTTACCCCTTGAGCTCGGCGTTAGACCTGCAAATTTTATCACAAAACATACCTAAGTACCCTGCAGGTCTGTCAGGAAGGACATTCACATAGTCAGCATTAGATTGTTGATTTTCATGTGATCTTCGATGACTGGCAAATCCAGCAAGACATCGAACAACCTTCCAGCATATGTTTTTATACAAAGTCAGACTGAATATCTTATAAGATCAAGACTACTTCACCTTTCCTGAGAGGCCTTGTCAACTTCAAATGCTCAACTCTTTTGACTTCAAAACGATTGCCACCGTCAAAAACTAACTCTCTCCAGCTAGACCTATTCTCTGCCTTTTTGTCCCCGTCTTTGACATTAATATTAATATTTTTGCTGGTTGTCTTTTCACAGTATACTTGAAACGTTTCTTGGGTTTGTGTCTGCCGCGCTTACAAAGAGCGAGCACTCCGTAAAACAGGTGCTTAGGCCAGCGTTTCTCAACCTTTTTACCGTTGTTACCACTGAAATAATTTTCATGTCTCAGAGAACCCCTACATTAAAATGATTATATACCATTCTATAGATCTACTTCGAAATTGCCACTTGGCTTATGATTGGCCCATGATCCGTGAATTCATATTCTGGGTGGTAACTGTAGGGACATTATTAGTGATAAATAATAATAATGAAATAAAATAAAACAGATAACATTAAAACTTTGTTTAAAATAAAATAATTAAAAACCAAAATAATAAACGTTTTCCAAGTGTGACACCCACCGGTGGTCGCGGTCGCAGTCCAGCGCCAATATGTGACGTCCACTGGTCGCGACGTCAATATATGACACTACGCTGTCGGCCCGTGGTCAACTCCCAGTTGCGGCGCGAAGCTGTAAGGTTTCTTCCTCGAACGTTTTGGGATTGCCTTCTTGTCGCGGCCACTAGCCTGTGTCCCGGTCGATCTGGTCGTTTCCGGTTCGATACCAGTTCGCCTCCAACGCTTGGTCACCAAAGTAACTGCTTTGATCTCAGGTAGACGAAACCAATCAGGCGTGGGGCCGTAGTGCGAGCTGAATCCGGGGTAAAGATTATACCGCACAATCGTAAGTAAAAAAAAAATAATAAAACAAACTCAAGAGGTTCAAATATGTTGAGAAATAACAATTATCTTTATCTATCTGTTGGATACAGGAGTGTGTTTCTTTCCTAGTCCGCTTCTATGGAAATTTGAAAGATACAAACATTTATTAAACTGATACAAAATATTATAGCAAAGTACAAATTCTACAAAAAAGTCTTACACAAAAATGTCCTTTTGTGCACCTTATCATGGTCAAGGCAAGGTAACGTAACAAAATTATAGAAATAATTAGCTCGAAAAAGATTCACAAGACAATGTTTTTTTAAATTATGAAAGAAAAATATCTTTTCGAAGTTGATACAAAAATCGTTGAAATTAAGAAGGTGCACCCACTTAATAGTTAAACGAAAAACCCTACTTGTATTTCATTCGATATTTTCAGGAAGATTTTAACGTTGTTTTTTCACTGTCGTTCGTTTTTTTTTTCTTTTTTTCTTTTTTTTCTGCTTGGTCTCCACGTGGTTCATTGTGGCTATTTAACGATCTTTTTGCTTGGTTTTGAATTTTCCTTTTCTGCGAGTGTCTCCGGAAGGTTTTACGTTATAATGAAATGTCTTTCACCGGTGTAGTTCTTTAAGAATGCCGAAACTTTTCTGTCCTTTGCTCTGCTGGAGACTTTCCACATGGAAAAGCCAAAAAACCTTTTCGCAGCCAGCCGGGTTTATACCAGTGCATCGTATTACTTCCTTTTGCCACAGCCAGCAGGCTTCTTCCTTTCTGCCGTCCAACCACTTTACGCCACACCCTAGGCTTCATTTGTCCTGGCGCTACCGCTGACCTGTGTTCTTAAATGCTCTCAGGAGTGGCTCAACAGACTTCGATTTTAATTTACGGTGGCGAAAGCCACCCTTTTCAGTGAACAAAAATACGAGGGTAACATATTTTTTTCTGAATTTAAAAAAAATGAATGACCATGTCTTATTTCTGGCGGTGCATTTTAGAGCCAATTCTAAATACAAAAAACTTTTACACACTAAACAAAAAAATTACTATGCCATCTGGCTTACCTTTAATACATTTCTCCCTAAAGTTAGTGTATAGGACAGTGTATGTTTAAATTTTTATAAAGTAAAATTAGTCATGAAATTTGAAAATATAAAATTTTGATTTAGCATCCTCAAAGAGGATTGGCGGTACATTTTTCATTTAAAGAAAACTCTGTTTTTTTTTTTTTTTAAAGAGAGAGACTCTGTTAATGACTGATTTAGATCCCATAAGGAAAGCAAAAGGGAACAGATTATCCACTTCTTCTTAAATATTAAGGAATTTAACATCCAGTTTAAAATATCAAATGTTGGTTGGTTGATTTTGTTTAGCGGCATACCAATCTCTATGGCTTATTTAATGCAGAAATCTAAATGTTTTGAATGCCTTCAACTACAGATAAAATATAGTTAAACCTTTTTATTATAAATATGCATTGCTGGTTATTTTACTAAAATTATGTATTTTTATACTTTCATAGTGTTTTGTTTTTGTTTTGGAGTTCACTATTTGCCCATAGGTGCTACCACCTCGGGTAAGGGTGAACTGGGAACAGCGGTAATGAAAAGGCGATTCAATGTTCCTCAAAACCTCCAATCTCCCTATCAGAGACTTTGCTGCCAGACGTAGTTTATCATCATACCCAAAACAAAAGAATATCAAATGACAAAGACTTGACTTAGACATGGAAGCCATGTACTTAGTGCCTCTAGCTTTTTAATTTTTTTCTAAAATTCTAGAGTCATCAAGTATTATTTTATTAAAATTATTTCACTATAGTTATTTTTGACATCATAATTAAAATCATTTCATTATAATTATTTTGACATTATAATTAATTTGTATTTATTTATTTTTGTGGACACGGCACAGTGACAGTATAATTATTTTTTAATTATGTATTTCTTTATGGACACGACAATTTCCAACAGCAACACCAGGGGCGGTCAGTGAATCTTCACTGACGATCAAAGTCTTTTCTCAACAAAAGGTTTTTACTATTGACTAATAACTTAAAAATCTTTTTTTAAACCATATATTTTTCTGTGGACGAAGTACCCAAAGTATTGGAATTTAACTTGAGAACAATATTTTACAAGTTTACATTCTAGCCTATTTTTTCAATCCTCACTCCAACCTTTTTTCTTACTTTCAAAACCGGCTCCCAGAGCCTTGATTCTTATCAGAGATAAGAATATATTTTCTAACGAGAGAGCTGGAAAATATAAAAAGGAATTCCACCACCATTATTCTTTCCATAGTGCCATAAAGTCTGGGGGAAATCTCACAGCTTGTTCATTCCAACCTTTTTCATTACTTTCAAAAACGGCCCCCAAAGCATTGTTTCTTATCAGAGATAAGAATATATTTTCTGACCAATGATGGGGCCAGGAAATTTGTATAACGATTTTGGAGAGAAACGTCCCCGATCCTTCTGAGCCTCACAAATCTCCATAGATTTGATGAATCTTCGCCTATTTGGCAGTAAGATTTCGACCACCGTCTGTGAGGTCGACGATAGGGAGCACCAGTCAACTTCGGAAGCACTTTCAACCAAAGAACTACCTATTAAAGGCTGTCGAGGACGAACGTCGGTCCACTATTGAAGACCAGTTGAAAGCTGCCTCCTTTCACGTACAAGACTATTGTTGTCGAACTACGAACTCAACTCAGCTACAGAATTCCTATATCTACCAACATTTTCCTACTCTACAAGAACTGTGAGTGTTTCTAAACCTTAACAAAATTCTACTCGGTTAAAGAACTTTTAGGCGCTCAGAGAAATATTTTGAGCAAGCCTTTTTTTTGTTATGAACATTTCCTCTTCCCTTAAAGGACTTTTTCTTCTCCCTTTCTTTCTCTCCAAATTGTCTTTATCATTTTACTCCTTTTTTTACTGTATATGTAAATAAGCACTTTCTTCTTTTATTGTTACACACCGAGCAGGAGTTTTTCTTTATTCGTCCGCGCCTAAAAGAGAGAGTTTGTCCGCTCTAATCTTGCTGTTTTTATTCGCGTTTTGTCGCAATTTTTTAACCTCATCCCTTTGATGCAGGAAAGCCGGAACAAATTTCCTAGCAAAAGACTAGCCCAACTAAAGACTATTTTTTTACTCTTTTTGACCCTTGGATTCATGTACATTTTTGTAAATGTGAACTAGCGATTTAATTGGTAATGGAAGGGAAACAAATATGACTGACAAACTCATGGCCAATCTAGATATAAAATCGTTTTACATTTCATTTATACAAACGTCTGGGAAATGCTTAAATCTCTTTAAAAAAAAAAACATAACACAATAAAAATAAAAACTCTCCCTACCAATGGCTAAAATAATAAATATGTTTGTAAATAAAAAAAATGATTTATTTATTTAATAGGCATATCCTTAAGGCTTATTGTTTGAAGAAGAATTTATTAAAAAAAATTCTCAACGACAGAATTTCCTACAGAATTGTCTGTACCTTTTAGATTACATATGTCAAGTTTGAAAATGCGTTTGCATCATTGATAACTGCGTACTATTACGAATTGGGGAAAAGGGCCAACATCGGTGTAATCAATGTTGTAAGCACAGTTTTAAAATTGACATTTGTCAGTAAACTAAAATCTAAGTACAGATAATTCAAGAATTCAGGGACCGATCTGATAAATGTATTGATATTATGAACATCCTGTTCGTAATAAAATACCTTATGATAAAAAATTAACATTTTCCGATTCTGATGTTGTGGCTTAAGAAAAGTCTAATGAATGCTAACCCTCAAAAATTATCCCCCATGCCACCATAAAAAAAAAATGATTCCATATTTTTTTTACGACTTGACCATTAAATTTAGATTGGTAACCTTTTTTTTTTTCAAGTTAGAAAGTTATACATTCGAAATAAGATGAAACCGTCAAAAATACAATAATTTATATTCTATCTTTTCTTTTTTCGTAAGAACTGAAATACATTTCAACATTTGGGAAGACATTATATATTCTATACTAGTTTTCCAAAACTTTACCATACCTCATTTCCAATTTTTCAAGGAAGTATCAAAAACTAGCCCCAGTGTGGTATGTAAGGGAGGTAAATCAGTGCTTGGTCTGCTGGATAGGTTTGAATTTTGAATTGAATAATAATTTATTTCAGATTCACTATGCCTATTTGAACGGTTGTAAAATGTAACGATCTTAGGGTTAGGATGAAAATTAGTAATTAAGATGCTTAAATTTAGATACTTAAAATCTTAAATCGAGGTGTATCAAAGGGAGATAATCCATAGTTTTGTTTTGTTGATGACGTAAGCGACCAAGTGAACATTTGAAACGAAAGGAAGGCCAAAAGAAAAAAAACCGCAAAGGCAGGGGTCGACATTTAGCCGAAGCTATTTTTTTTTTTACAGGTTGTCATCTTTTATATTGACAGTTGGCAACCTGACAGACCCATACGTTCCGTGTCCCCATGTAGACCATGCAGGACACGGTAAACTTATTTATAAACCGTGTGAAGCGCTGAGGAAGGCTATTTATTTTTGCATATCCCGAAAAAGAACGGCAATAGTAAATCGTTTCTCATTTCATTTCTTTCGTCTGCTAAAAAGGAAAAAAAAACAAGAGGACGTCTTCTTTACTTTACTCAACTGTAATTACTTTTTAAAATCATTTATTCCCTACTCCAGTTAAGTATTGGAGTTTTTCTTTTTTCTTGTGGAATACGAGAGTAATTTTTTCGCTTTAAAGTTCACTTTTTTATTTATTTAAAAAAAAAAAAAAAAAAAGAACGGCTTCCGTTTTTTTTTTTTAAAGTTTACTGTTTCATTCTCATGTGACTTGTTAAAAAGAAAAAGAAATAAACAAGAACCTGGTCAGAAAGATCACCTAAATCCTGATCTTTCTTTAAAAAGAACTACATAAAATAACACTAGTACACTGAAATTACCTGCTGGATACTTCCCTAAACGCATATACCTTTTTTACGTAAGTATAAAAATTAAGTCAATTTCCTTTTTGTTTTTAAAAATACTTGTTTAAAATTTCATAAAATATAAAAAAAGAATAATTGTTGGCGTGTAACTGTTTTATTTTTACATAGTTAAGCAGTGGTCAAAAATTGAGTGGTCATTTTTTTTTTTAATATAATTAAAGCCTTTCTTTAAAGATCTTTAATTTTGTTCACTAATTTAGATAAAGTGTAGTTTAACATCTTTAATGACATAAATATTAATTTAATTACGCTCAGATCGGAGAAATCGTGATTTTTTTTTTATTCGATAGTGATATACACAGATTGATAAATGCTGTATTTCAGTCACAGGATTTTTAAAATACTGTGACCAAAAAGTGGGTGACTAATTTATAATACAGTTTCTAAGAAAACTGATCCCCCAAATTTTCGCAACTAGTAATTACTTTGTCAACAAATATAAATGCTTTTTTTATTTATTCATTTATTTTTGCAACTGTTTTTTTCCCTGTTTTTCATTTTTAATTTAATGGATCTGAAAAAAACTAAAGTTCTGTTACACATTTGGAATTGTTTGTTTTTTTTCTCTCTTCATAAACAAACAAAGCGAACCCCCAAAGACAGATAAAAATTGCAAATAAACCTGTTGTACTTGTTTTTACAAGCATTCTGTTTTATAAACAAACAAAAAACACTTGATAAAAATTTAAAAATATAACATGCTAATTTTTTATGCTTTCTTAAAAATTGGTGCAAACAAAACAAAAATATATTTCTAGTATTTTTTTTATTGCAAAAACAATATAATCTATTAATTTTTTTTAAGAAATCAATCCCTCTTAGTCTTACCAAAATGCTTATAAGGTGTGGTTCTATCACAACATCCGTGTTTTTGTTAATTTAAAAGATAAAAAAAAGTTAACATTTTTTGTACTTCCCCTGTTTGTTTTTATTTTCTTAAAAAAAAACAAAAAAACAATTACACTTTTTGTATGTTTGGCAAACACCTTATTTTTCTTGCGAATAATAAGTCTTTAAAAATCGGAGTTAAAATAAAAAAATATACACCTAAAAAAAAAAAATTAATTTAATAATAGTCAAAAACATGACGATTCCGTTTTTTCGACGGAACTACTGATTGACAACAACGTGGTCATGCGATTAAAAAACCACTAAAGGAAAAAAAATGTCTCAAACTTTCACTTGTTTCAGTTTGCATTGCGACTGAAGTTGGCTGAACTTTTAGCATTTTCTAGTGAAAACTTTGTAGTTATATCTGATGTGCAACCTAGTATAAATTTAAATTTACTTTTGAAAAGTAAAAATCACGTTTTACGTCAGACCATACACGTTTTTTTTTTTGTTTTTTTTTTTGTCCTCCTCCGACTATCACCACAACCACCACACCACTGAATTAACACGAGAATCTTGTCTTGTGTGTTGAAATTGAAATCAATTAAAAAAAATTAGCTCAATTCGGCCCTAAAATGTTTTCAAAATCTAAGTACCGCGTGGGCTAGCAGATAAGTCAGGGTACTTCTTTTAACCAGAACCTTTTAATTTTCTTTATTTTTAAAGGCAATGTTAGATTGAGTCAGTTACTTAGTGTTTTAGTTTTATTTATGACATGAAGTTGACAATCTTCTTTTCCATTTAACGTTCGACAGATTGTATTGGGCTATGTTGAGTAACAGGTTACAATCCCGGTACTGGTAGTGGTGAATTCATGCCTTTTTTTAATGGCTTTTTTAGAGCTGAGTTCATAACTACAGCAGCAGGAATGTGAAATCGATTTGTCGACTTTATTTTCTATGTTGATAGCCACTTCTGACAACCCAGCAACTCTTCTTTTTTTTCTAATAATGCTGTAAACTGTAATTATTTACATATCCAGAAGCAAACAAATGATAGACATGGCTTTCCAAGGACGTCAATTCCAATTAACTGGTTTCACTGCTGGATAGCTTCAAGCAAAATCAACAAAAAACATTTTCTGATCTGGAGAAATGTTTTTAGCGAATTTTCATTATCCCTACACTTCTTGTTACAAACAAGTGTTTGTTTTTGGCCATTTATTTTCGTTAGTTGTTATGAAATCGATATGTTTGTTGCTTAAAAATCTCTGATTTTTTAATTCTTTATATTCTACCAGACTGACCACCAACAATCCCTTTCATAATGAGCTTCAATGATGTTCTTTTGTAAAACCAGTTGTTGGACAGTTTATTTATTTTATACAATCACTTTATTCTACCAGTTATGCTTGCATTAATTTCATGACCACTGACAATGCCTTTTTTCCTGATTGGCAGATCACTGACATTATACATATAATAGCCCTATTCTGTGATTAATACTTGCAAAGGGAACCCAAAATTAATATTTAAGAGGAGTCCCATTTAGATTAACCAAGAGTCCCGCCCACCAAAAAACTCTTAATAAAATGAAAAATATTTAACAATCTCAAAATAAATGAATTCAACATTTATTTGCTTCATTCACAAATAAGAATGAGAATGTTTTATCATGTGAATAAGCCTTCTCAAAATAATAATACATGCAAATGAGAACAAGGTAATAAAATGAATTAAGATTGTAACAATTTTAGGTTACCAGTTTGTAGTAGTGTTGAACAGTTTGTTCTGGAAGTTATTAATTTGTAGCAGTGTTGACTAGTTTGTTGAACTGGGATATTTTCTAGCATTGAATGGAGATATATATATTTATGTGATAGACTGTAGTGGAGATATTATTGTATAGGGGAAAGATGTATTGATGTGATCCTGTAGTAGACATATTGTTTTGGAGATATATATTTAGTTATGTGATGAACTATAGTGGAGATATTGTTTTGGAGAGAAACCTGTATTTATGTGACATTGTCATTGTGATATTTTGTTAGAGAGAGACATATTTATGTGATAGACTGTTGGAGAGAGATATGATTGTTTAGTTGAAATATTGGAAAGAGATATGTATTTATGTAATAGTCTAGCTGAGATTGGACTATAAATTGCCAAGAGGAGTTGTGGTGGGGAAGATGGAAAAAATTGTAGCTAACAGAAGGTACACAAATCAACACCCGATCAGTATTGGCTGGGTCACCTCCTATATGGAGAGCTGGCCTCTGGAAGGAGACCCACTGGCTGGCCACAACTGCGATATTGTGATGTCATGAGGCACGACATGAAAGCTGTGGACATCAACACAGTCCTGGGAGAGCCTAGCAGCCATACAATTCTAATGGTGAGGAACCCTGAACAAACATTTCAAGTCAGGGGAGGAGAAGCTGACACAAGTTGCCATGGAATGGCAGGCCCACAGAAAGCAAAGTGACAACTCCAACAGACCAGAGACAGAACACACATGAGACCTCTACAACAGAGATTGTCACTCCTACATCAGCTTCTATAGTCACAGATGTCAATGCTCCAGCCAAGTAGACAACTAGGATGCTACCCATGGTCAACCCTGACCGACGGAGGCCTACAGAGATGGAGAGAGATATATTCATGTGATAGACCATAGTGGAGATATTATGTTGAAGAGACATTTATGTGATAGACTTCAGGAGAGAGAGAGATGTGATAGTTTTTAGTTGAGATATTATTGTACTGGAGAAAGAAATATATATATTTGTGATAGCTTGCAGTGGAGATATTGTGGTTGTATGAGTTTTTCTTAATGAGAGTTAGTGTAGTGATAGTATTATGTTGCATGCAATGTGATATTGTGGTTCAGGGATGAAGAAATTTCTGAGAGTGGGTAACAAGACACATCTTGTCAATTATGACATCCTATGGTTGAGGAGAGAGGGTGTTTGTATCCTTTCCCTTTTCACTACATTATACAACATCACCTAGCAGGTATTAAAAGTTTGCTTGCAGACAATATTGGGTATTCCTACACTTGCATTAATTCCTGAGTACTGACAATCTCTTTCTTCTTGATTTTTAATTCCAACATGTGCCTCAGAAATTGTTCAAACAAATTTTAGTTGAAAAAAAAATGACAGCATTGGGCTACATGGGTGCATTCTCTATGCTGGGAGAGATGGATTCATGCCTTTTCCACATGGCTTTAGAGTGAAGTCAGTAACTACTGCAGCAGGAATGTGAAATCTATTTGTCAACTTTATTTTTCTGTCTGTTTCTGAGATATGGTTTTGTAACTATTTACATTATTCAGATTGTTGTCTTCATCTATATTGCCATATTTGTGATGTTTTGGCCATTGTACACTCTGACCTCCTTCAGGGGATATTAGATGAAATTTCAAACTGAACCTTTTATTTGGACAACCCACATGAACTTTATTTTCCATGTTGGTAGTCAAATTTGACAATGAAATATTCTGCACATTTTTTTTATTAATACTGTTATTGAATAGTTAAACATCCAAAAGCCATCAAATGGTAGGCCTAACTTTCCAATTAAATGGCTTTATTAAATGGACACGAGGCCTGGATAACAATTCAGAATGAGAAATTGGAGGGTTGAGTTTGAATACCAGTCGAATTTGTTAAATTCCTTTATATGTAAATATCCTTGGGAAAGGTATGAATCCATCTCTTCTCCTTCTGCTATGGGTTAAATAGCAGGACAGACTGGGTCATTTAGGCTTGGTTGGCAACCAGTCTACTGCAGAAAGTAACATCAGCCTACTGTGGGAATTCTGCCAAGTTTTTTTTATTTTTTACAATGATGTTCATCCTGTACAAGTCCCAGGAGCCACTTGAGAATCATAAAGAGACATGCTCACCCAAACATGCATCATGCATGGTACCTAAGTAAGGAACACTTCATTGCTGGATAGTTTCAAAATCAACAAGATCTATTTATATTTCTGATTTGGTGTATCACTTTTCAAGCATCAGTTTTTTTTGCTTTTTTTTTTTTTTTTTTTTTCATGCAGCCTAGAATGTTGGCTTGTATAGTAAATGAGTTACTCTCATCAGGTTGGAATAGTAGTAAAGTCAGTGAGTAGGAATAAGAAAAATCTAAGATTTGCTTCT